GTGGCTTTGAGACACAATGATAACTCTAACTCGTATTTCCAGTTGGTTGTAGTGCAAAAGAGGTACTAAGATTGAGGTGTATTTGTCTGTCCAGTTAACTACGTATGTTTTGATGGAATTAGTAAAAATTACTGCCCTGAAGTCGGTCTCTCAAAATGTAAAGGGGAATATTTTTGAAGGTGAATTTAGCTTCATAAAACTATTCTGAAGTTTGTGGTTTCCTGTGCACTTTTATATTTCCTTTGACATTTCGGTGTTGGCAGATCTAATGTGATAGTTGTATATATGTTAATTTTTTTCAAACTGTGCTGGAGGCAGTATAGGTTTTTCGTACAGCATCAGAAATGAGTCTCAGTGAATAAGTTCAGGGAGTGGACACAGTGTGCAACAGGCTCAGGGTGTGATTCTGTGGCCAATTGTGAACTTTTGTGGTCCCTGACACCTGAACAATCTGTCTGGAAAGATATTTGTAGAAGGGAATGCTTACATGAAGTCAGGCATTGGGATCAGAAACTAAGATTGGTGGTCCACATTATTTTGTCTAATGAGGCTTCCCTACTTCTAGCTAAAATGAAAGTTTTCTGAGTGTTACTTGAAAGTTACTACTGAAAGGTTGTATGCCAAAATTTTTGTCTAAGTGACAAAAATATGACTCAGAAGAAGCTTGATGTGAACAAACTTTTCCTTTTTTCCTTTCTTTTTTTTTTGTGACAGTGCATTTCTTTCTGGCCACATGTGAAATAGGACAAAGATACAAGACACTGAATAATTTGATTGAAGTAGAATGCTTAATAGCAGAGAACAGGACCATAAACCCAACAAGATGCACTTTAATAACAATAATAATATTTCCATTACAGCAACTCATTAAATGCATGTACAAACAACAGGGCTGTAAAAGGCAGAACTTTTTTTAATGGTAGAGAAGTAGCTGCTGGTCTTTTTTCCACTGTCAGTCTTAGTAACCTGATGTTACAAAGCAATCTCTAATTCCCAGGCTTCAGAAGAATGCTTCCTCTGTGGTTTGTAGCCAGGACAAAACTACTGTGCTCATTTCAAGTTGCTTAATGAAGGTATGGGTGTTACCTTCAGCAGACATCTGGTGTATGTCTGTTGTTGGAAGTGATAGAAGTATAATGAATCTGCTTATCAAGCTTGAGAACCTGACATAAATGATTGTTTTGGTTTGTTTTTTTCCCCCCAGATATATTTTCAAGGTCGACTATTTCCTCTGCATTTGTTGCCTTAAGTAATTAGTTTTTAAGGGAAGTGAAAATAATATTTTTCCCTCCTTTCAGATAAAGGTGTGTAAAGAACTCAGTCTGAGACCTGAGGAAAGATAAAGAGGAACATATTTGACATTACTGTACTGGGGTGGAGGAGGAGAAAGTCGAAAATCCTTGTTTCTAGTTTTCAAGATCATTTTGAGCTATAATCAGGTGTTGAAAGTGACTGTCTTTCATTCACACTGATACGAGAGTAGCTGGAATTCTGCCCCTTCCTGGATTTTGAAGTGGAAGCACGGGGCTCAGGCTGGTGCTGATGCTCTGGGCTGTAACCAGGCCATGGTTACAGTGGCCCTGGCAGGTAGCCAGGAGCTATTCTGGCTCCTGAGAGCTCAGGCCAAGGTCCAGCAGTGTCCCTCTTCTTCCCCAGGGCTGAGGATGAACTCTGCAGAGTGCTAGTAGGCTGCTTCTTCAGCAGAAAACACCATGCCTTTTTTGCTGTAGGTTCTTAATTTTATTCTTTCAGGAGGGTAATAACTCTACCATTTGTCTCCTGCTTAGAATTCAGGCTTTTTGCTGTCTGAGTTTTCTGGGCTGTGAAAGCTTTCTGATTTCTGTCAATGTGCCTGATGATGATGCTTGTTTTGTTAATGGCTTGTAAGGACTTATATTTGAGGTACAGAAGTAGTATTTAGATACAGTTTTTGGTGTGCTATAGCTGAAGAATTATGTGCTGTTGTTGTGGACTGTGTTTAAGCATAATGGGTGCTTAAAACGGTGGTGCAACTCCCATTTTTTTCAAGGAATGTGTTTGGCTTAATGGTTTTATTTTGATGACTTATAAGCAAGTGCCTAATGCAGCAAACTAGAAGCTACTTGGTGAAAGAAGGGTCTTCTTCTGAGAGGAAAGTTTTGATATATTTAAAAAGAAAGAATGAAGACCTAGCAACCTCCCATAAACAAAAAACAAAACCCCCAAACACACAAAACCCCCATCAGATAAGCCAGTCAACCAACCAACCAACCCAAAAACCCCACCCCCCCAGATGTGTGTGCAGGAGGAGCTACTTCTGCTTCACCTCCCGAATAAAGTAACCACAATTTTCTATTTTTTTTTTACTCTATATGTCTTGGTGGGGGGGGAAGACTTTCATTTTTAATTTTTAAAAAGTTTCAAATTTTATGGAATTTTCTGCTATTTTAGGCCTAACATTTGGTTATGAATGATGCCCTTGGAAGTGTGATACTTGCTATGTTATTTTATTAGCTGGGCTGATACATTTAAAGGTGCTCCCTATATCTAAAATCACCAACTTAAATTAAAAATCCAGAAAAAAAGTAATTTTTGCCAGAAAAACTAAAAAAATTTTTTTTATGATACTATATCACGTTTCTGACTTTTGGAAAGTGAAAGGAAGAAAAAGGAAAAAACAAGAAGGAAGTGAGGGAAAGAAAGGATGCCATAAAAACTTCTGTAACCTTCACTAAAGACTTATTTTAGATTTGATCTAATCTAGTTAATGTATCCCTGAAGTTCCAGGTGATCTCAGATAAATCTTGAGGATCTCTAGAATTCAGTGTAAATGTAATAGAACAGTTGGAATTCTGCTTGTTATTCTATGTATAATGCATTTCTGCTCAGGAGACTTACTTTTGACATTTTAATGTATTCTTTGTGTTTAGAAAAATTAGAATGCTGACATTCTGTTTCTTTCTCATTTATTAATTTATAGTTAGGACAGGATATAAGGATATCTTAACCTAAAACTGTAATCCCTTTTTCTGTGAGATTGTTCAGTATTATTTTCTATATTTAACAGAAAACTGTTCACAGATAGTAATCCTTATGATGTACCACTCTGCAGACAAAGAAATCTCATTTATGCCACTTGTCAAAAGCAGTGTTTCTTCCCATTGTCTAGTTTTTCACAACTGATGTGCCATCTGCCTTGTAAAGAGTCAGAACTGTAAATATTCTCTGCGTGGAAGTCAAGTAATATGTTTGTCAGAAAGCATAAAGATTATTTTTACACCATCCTTCAGTCCTAATATTGTGCAAGGTGTATTGTTATATTTCCTATTTCAAACACGTTGGAGGGCAAGTCCTTTTAGAAATGCTGAAGAATAAATATGACACTGCATGAAATAGCAGTTTTTGTGTGCTATTATAGGGTTTTTTCTCCCTTTCCTTCTTCTGCTATTACTTGCTCATTTACCCCTTACCTCACATTATTCCTGTGTTTATCAGTGTTTACTTTTACTGTGTTTTGTCTTTGCAATGTTTTCTGTAGTGTTCCCTCTTAAATTTCTACTGTATTTGTTGATACAAACAATACTTCAGTCAACCATTAGAGAAATCAATATGGGAATCTTACATGCTGTGGGCAGAATTTCTCAATATCTTGCTTGTCAATACTGATTAATAGCTTCTATGGAAAGAAGTAGAGAAGTGTCACAAAATTCTGGTGTGTTTTGTCTCCACATGCTGTCTTAGGATGATAAGACTTGTTTGCTGCCAGCTAGTGTATGTTACCAGAAGTGTTATTTTCTCCATCCATTTACATGTTATTATTGCTGTTATTTATGAATTATCCTATTTGATTGATTTATAGTCACAGTTTCCTGGTAGGAAATAGGTGGGTTTACTTTCCATTTGCCCATCGCGAAAGTGGAAGCTGGTTGAAAAACACATTTACCGACTGTCGGACAAATTGCAGCCCTTAGAAAACGGAGGGAGCATTTGCTGAGTCACATCTAATTGCAAACTAACACCTTTCCCTTTTAGTTGCAAGTGGGGCTGGAGCAGAACATCTTTCTAACATCTCCACATGAAAGACTTCCAGGCCATCACAGTTCTACCCAGAGGGATGTGCCATCACTGGCTTTGTTGCTCTGCCCTTGCTTAGAGAGCATCCAAACACCTTCTGAGCAAGAACAGGGGTTGATAGTGGGGCCCAGTCTCTGTAATTTCACCCTGGTGAAATGACACTTTAACTTACTTTCAGTAGTTTTTATGGCTGTTTATTAAACTTGTTCTGGTAGTGGGAGGGGAGACAGATTACCTGGTGCTGTAAGTGGTGAACAAAATAGCCTATTCATGCTTTATGTTGTCGAATTCTCAATACTTGATGCAGTTTTTCAGGTGACTGTGTGGTTTTGTTGATATGAATGAGTAAACAGGAGTAGGAGCTTGAACTTTGTACCTCAGAATTGCTTTGAGAACCGACAGTAACAATAAGCCCAGCAATACCCTGTGCCCACCTTATGAATGCCATCCTCTTCATGTCTGAATGATTTTGCAGCCATATGTTTGTTCCAGGCTTGCCTGTGGCACTAAAGAAGGGGGGGAAACGAGATTTTACTGAAATGTGGAAAAGAAAACAAACAAAAAAAACAGTGTGGGAAAGCTGAGCTGAAAAGACTGAAAAGCAGCCGTGCTGTGCTCTGGGTATCATTAGATGGTTGAGGAAGTTTCCTCCTCCTGAGGCAAAATAATGAAATGTGTGCAAAGAGACACTCCCTTGAAAACAGAGAAATAAAATTAATTTTATTACTGCTTCATTTAGTGGGTTTTTTGTTAAGAAATATTTTTCGGGGGGGGGTTGAAGCTCAGTGAGGGTGTAAATCAAACAACTGTGTTTAGCAGCTGGACCTTTGAGCTGCTTTGCTGAAACCGATCAGTTGATAATTAATTCCTGTTTTCTGTGCCAAAAAGCCCAGAATAGCCATTGTATTCTTACTACTTATCAGTGACTGGCACAGTCCATCAGCCCTGCTGTGGAGAATACAGAGGCTCCTGGCATGTGCACTTCTGCAAACAGGTACTGTTGAGTTTTTTGTTGGTTTTGATTTGTTTTCTTCCTCCTTCTGTGAGGGGAACCAACCGTTTGCCAAGGGACCAGATATTTTAGAGAGGCTTAATACCTGTAATCTGCAGTGGATTTTGTTTTAAGCGAGCTGAACAAGTCAAATCTGACACTTTTTGAATTTCGAAAGGGAACAGCCTGTTGACTGCACTAACCTTTTGAAAATCCGAGTGGAAACGAGAGCTATAGCCTTTGAAATGCAAACTGTTATTTAGGTGCTGATGTGTATGAGGGGGGTACAAAACAGTCGTGATGGTTGGGAAGACATCCTGATCTCTTTTACAAAGTCTAGGCTCGCAGCTTTCTTTGTTTTATTCTCGGCTGAGGAATAAGGTTATTTGGCTTAATGCAGATGGTAAGGCTTGGGAAATTATTCTGTAACCATGGTGCCTCAATGACAATGGGGTGAGGGGGGGTCAGAACCCACCACAGCATTGCTGCTCCCCTCCTGTTTCCTTCATTAATCATCTTTAACGTGGCAACCAGTGCAGCCTGGCTGTTTAATTTGGTGAAAAATAAGTCTCAAATACTGTTTTCTGTGAAATCTCTACATTCATATATGAATGATGTGTGAAAAAAATACTGTCCTGAAGTGCACAGATAGTGAATAGAGACTAATCTGCAGTTGCTTTTTTTATTTACTTGTAAAACAACTGTCTGCTCTTCAGTGTACACAGGTGTGCTGTATTTGGCTTAGGAAAGCTTATGAAAGCAGACATTTCATATATTTTATTTCTTTAACTCACACCTCTGTTCCTGTTTCAAATATCCTAGTTCTTTCCCTAATTTCTACTCAGCTGGAGCTCTTTTGGCTCAAGGGCAGATTGCTATCTGTTCCTGGGCACAGAAAGAATTAAAATGCCGTGAAAGCTAAATAGTAAGATCTGTTTTAAAGAAATAATAATCAGTTTCTTCAGATGGACTCGGAAAAAAACTTGCATTTCCATCTGCTTTAATGTCACAGTGCGTGGTATTGCTTGTTTCATATGTACCTAAACTGACAAAAGTTAAATAGCTTCTGAAATAGCTAGGAAGAAATGCAGGACATGTATACCAGAACTAAAGGTTTAAGGAGAATGTTTCCTCTGTATAGACAAATTGCCCATCAATGGCTCATAAAATGTAGTTGCAAAGGCTGAAGCCATTCCCATCAAATAGGTGATCTGCAGAAGTTGATACTGCAGTCAGGTTTATGGATTTTGGTGTTCACCTACATCATATGTTCCTTTGTTGCTTAATCTTGGTTGTGTCACACGTTAAAATGGTACTTTTATATGTAATGGAAAACTGTTCCAAATAATGTTCAGCCATTACAGGAACACGGAGTTTTTGTCGCCCTTGCTAACATCCGACAATACCTTGGAAAAATCAGTATGGAATAATTTAATCTGCCTTAAATCTTTCCGTGTTCTAGAGAATAAAATGATCCTTAAGGTAGCTTGTGCCACTACTGTAGAAGAATGTTCAATATCAGTAGCAGACTCATTCTTGTGAATATTTGCAAGGACCCACCTGGAGAAATGAGTAGATGTATTTTCAGAATTTCAGTTGCTGACTAGGCTGGAAACAAACATCCATATCCAAGCAATTCCCTCAACCACCCGATTTTCAAGGAAGTTACTGGGAAGTTTCACTTCACAAAGTCAGAACTGAGAAGTTGCCAGAGCCATTCTCAGACCTGAGATAAGGATGAGATAAGATATCAAAGGGGTGATGATGGGAAAACAGGCTAATTTCGATATCTGTTGGAAGGAGGTAGATAAAAAGGGATGTTATGCACTGAATGAATAAGTTGAAATATTGATGTTATTCTAGAGATACTCTATTTATCTGTATTTTACCAGGGGCTGGCTGCATCTGGATGCTGCTCTTTCTAAACAAAGATAAAAACCAAAAATGCTGTATGTGTAGTGAGTGAGAAAATATTGGAGGGAAGGAGATTGATTAGGCTCTCCTTGTTACTGCTCAGGACTTAGAAATTATAATATTGGTGTTGCTTTAATTCTTTCAAACAAAGGCTTAAAGCTAGTTTTAAAAATATGGCTTCAAAGTCTCCTGATAAGAAAGCAGTAAAAAGCTAGCACTTTCACTTCAGTTTTAGGGCAATAGAACAGCTTCCTCTTGTGCTACAGACACTTTAAACCTCATGGGTTATGTACACCTAGTGCTAACTTAAGGGTAAATCTTCCAGATAACACTGTTTTATAGTGTGTCTCTGTGTGTGTCTAAATCTTAGTGCTCATTACTTACCAAGCACTAATGAGGATGGAGAGGGCTCTTACCTGATTCTTGTTAATGTAATGAAGAGGAACGGCTGTGGGAAAGTCTCCTTATCTGGAGTAGGTGCCAAAACATCACTGGGAGATGCTCATAAAAAGAAATTAAAAATTGCAAGATAGTATCCAATTCCATTGGTGGTTTTGTTTTTGTTTTGGTTTGGTTTTTTGAATGTAAAAAGATCTCTTTTTGCTCAAGGGAAAATACATAAATATGGACAGTGTATGTGCCTGTGTGTGAAAGGTTTCTAGTTGTAGACACATAATTAAATATGAAAATTTGATTTTTGGCTATCTTTTCTCAGTGGCTTGAATATATATGTGTATATATATGTATACACATACATCTGCTTCTACAGAATGAAATATTTCAAAACAGCTGAATTTTTTTTTCAACAGCTGAGGCGTCACTTTGGTTACACTTCTTGCAGATAAAAATTCCAAATTATTTCTACAGATAACACTGGTGGGTTTTCTTTTAATATCCTAGTACTTCCTTTAAATGCAAGAAATCACATTGGAGATAAGCATTGTTTCTGGAAAATACATTAACCTGGAATTATTCTGCCAGCTTCCATTTCTTGTTGGACAGTTGTGCACTTCAGTGTACAAAAAGATATAAATTTTGTGTAGATTCCTTGTGTTTCAACAGAATATTACATTTATGTTGCTGATGGCTGCCATTATGGCACTGCTGAGAGAGAAACTTGAGCAATTGTTGTCCTGTTAAAAGCTCACTCAGCACTGATTACCTCGGTGTGTGTTTCTTGGTGGCCTGGCTGTCAGTGTAACCTCCTCTGACACATCCTGAGGTTGTTCCAAATAACTCCCCTGGGGATGGGAAACAGTGAGTGCTTTTGCAAAGTCCGTCTTCTTAACTGGCTTTGAAGCTTTTTCAAAGTTTACATTGCAGGTAACCTTCCAAATCTGCCTTAGAGGAAGATCTCAGCCTTTTCAGACCTCAAAAGCTTTTATGTTTCACCTGAACATGAGGAAGAGCTTCTTTACTGTGCAGGTGACTGCACACTGGAATAGATTGCTCAGAGAGGTCGTGGAGTCTCCCTCACTGGAGATATTGAAGAAATCTCTGGATATGATCCTGGCCAATGTGCTCTAGGATGACCCTGCTTGAGCTGGGAGCTTGGACAGGATGACCCACTGTGGTCCTTTCCAGCATTACCCACTCAGTGATAATGTGAAAGAGCAGTGTTCACTCTTTTACCATCATTTTGTTGCTTGCAGCACAGTTTTCACTGGACATAATTTGGAATAGGTGATGTGGTCTGTGTTGGACTTGAGATATTTTTATTTGTGTGGAGGAGAAAGGTGGGAAGATTTCTCTTCTTGTTTGCTTTACTTTATTTTCTTCTTCCAAAAGAATTAATATATAAAAGTTGATTTAAGGGGAAAAAGTGATGAAATCTTCTGATCATGAAAAGTGGCTATGGATGTTTTGGGCATTTGATTTGGGTTTTCTGCTTGGCACTAGTCCAGGGATCATTCTTAATATAAGAGTTTCTGTCACTTGTGTTATAGAAGTAATCTTGTACTTTTGATGTGTTTGGTATCCTGAAGGATATTGTTCTTCAGCAATTTTATGGTTTTGGGTTTGGACAAAGAGTATGGGAGTTAACTGCCCCAACCTCCTGGCATCCAAACATGGAAGGGCACTCAGGTATGCAAAACTTTCTGACTTCTCTTCCTTTTATAATTCTTTGAGAGCAATCTTATCGTGTGAAATAAAAGACATTCTTCTCTCAAGTTTATGGGTTTTCTTTTTATTTTCTGAATGACATTTATGAAAAGTTTGCCCTTAATGGGTACTGGTTGGGTGTTATAGTAGTTTTGTACTAGTGTCCCAGGTACATCCTTAACAACTCTTTTGTTTATTACTTGAATATTTGAAGCCTTTGCTTTAAAAGTTGTTTTCCTTTTTTTTTAAATGTTTTCTGCAGAGAGTGGTTCATAGGATGTTGCTATCCCTCTGTATAACATGAGCAGTGAAAACACAGCACTCATCAGATTAGTACTGATCAGCTTGATAATGTGCTTTCTAATGTGCAAAAGTGAAGAATGCAGTCATGGCAAGGACCATTTCTCTTAGAATTCAATAGGCAAGTCAAAAAAAAATCCGATGTATCTGTAAGTAATTGGGCAGTTGCATGTCAACAGGAAGAGCTGCACATTGTGGTTGAAGGATGTCTCTGTTGCAAATTGAATCTGGATATTTTAATGTTTAAATTTTGGCAGGATCTGTGCCCCTAAGAAAAGAAGAAAACAATGCTCCTGTTTAAGAGCCACTCTCTGAGGTCAGTGGCTGCATTGTAATGTCAGAGTCAGGGTAGTCCCTTCCAATTAATAAGCAAGAAATGCAGTGCTGTGTTTCAGAGAGGAGCTGGCTCTGATCATCAGCTGGCATCTGCAACTTTATTCCAGCTACAGATCTGGCCATCAACCAAATGGAGACATCTTTTAATTGTGAGCATTGTATCTTTGCCAGCTCAATTAGCGCTTTCGACGCTTTGATCCAAATTGGTGTTTAAGACTTCATTCGAAGGCTGAGCTGCACGAGAACAGCCAGCATTTAACATCAACCACCAAAAATAATCTCAGGTTACCTCTTGTTTTTCAAAACTGAACGAGCCCCTGTGAGATAACAGCTGCATACAAAACTGGGCA